TATAACTGCAACAAATAAAAAAAAAACAAAATTATAACTGAATTTGTTTTTCTGTGTATTAAAATTTATTATGTCTATTAAATTAAAAATGTATGAAATAAAGCGTTGCGCGTCTTTATTCTCTATGCGTATTTATATGGGAATGTAAGCGTAGTTATAAGAGGGCCTTAAGAATAAAAATCATAAGCATACAACTTGTATTTATGTAGTAGATGACAGAAAACCCAAAATATTATGTGTGTATCATATCAAAATTATATAGTAGTATAAAATTTTAAAACTGTGAAATTTTAAAGCCAATTGTTTCAATCTTAAGTTGCTTGTATTCATATTGAAATTCTCCGTCAACCCTACAGTTGCGTATAACTAAACTTTAAATGCTACTAATGGCCTCCATGTAGAGTCTAGCCTTTGGTTGTGTCTCCTTAATAAATGTGTTGACAAAATAATGTTGGATTTTGTTATTATTTTTGGTTACACAACTAAGGTTTTAATATAACACCTAAAGCCATTACTAATGAAGAAAATATTAATATGTAGGAATCTTATATAAGAGCGTGAGAGAAAGAATTTATTCTCGTTGGTATTATCTTCACTTGCAACGATAGTGTTCTAAAATTAAAAACATGTCGCTAGAACAAGGAAACTAATAAATTAAGAGCTAGTACCAAATGGGTAGCCCGACGGAGCAATAGTGTACCGGAATATGCCCACGCCGGCGCCAACAGTAATGTTTGTTCGGTGAAAGTCGCAACAAAATCACGACTTCTCATACATTAAGCTTAAGACCGTGCGAATGTTTGACCGCGGATACTGCATTACTAGTCTGATTTTTTCCGACATAACTGACTGCTCATCATTTTCTCATTTAGTATCGTCTCGTAAGCGAAATTCCCGTAATTACTGAGCACCGGTAATCATCATCGGACATCGCTCTTGTAATACATTGACAGGCTGTTCTCAGTTTAAGTATGATCTGGATAAAATATCGCTAAATTAAAAAAAAAAAACGAAAATACACGAAAATAGGGACCGGCTGTATGTGATCGACCTTTACGTATTCAAAACGAAAGGTAAGGAAGTATTTGGTTAAAAAAAAAAAAAAAATTCATGAGCCTGAAGTGTAGGATGATTGTTCAAAAAACGAGGTGTGAATTGTAAAGTAACTTCTACATCATTTGAATAAGCTTTTTAATGGGCGTTTCGTTTCTGTGAAATTTGGCGCCAGATCTGTATCGAGCCTGCGGCTACCCTATCTCGCGGTGGAATCGACACCCATTCAACGGCCGAGATGTCTGCGGGCCCTTTGAGCTCTTTCTTTTAAACCGTCTCTGAGGAACATCGTAATGAGCGAGTTGTCTCGAACTTGTCCGAGGTGTTTTATTGTACCGTGATATATTGTTGCTGTCCCTAGATTGTTTATGGTCATTTATTATTTTTACAGAGTCGAATTTTAAATAGGATACATTTTATATTTGAATGCCTCTTTTTAGCCTGTTTTTTTTTACTAAATGTTTACTAAAATAGTTTAATTTATACGGTTAGTGAATAGGTAAGATACTATTTCTTAAATATATTTTCCAAGCAATTACAATCTCAATCAATTCTAAGCGTAGGCGGAGTCATAAAAACGATTCTCGTTTTGTACTTAAAAAAAAACACCTGTATTGTGAGAAGCTCGCTTCGTGAACGCAAGTCTTGCTGTATCGCTTTTATTTCTAATTAATATTATATTTTAAAATTAAACTTTAGTACTGTCTGCTGTAGATAGTAAGGTTTAAAGTCCTGCACTTTTGAATTCTCCGACAGCAAAACAGTAAACTTTTGCGCTAAAGCCCTTGCCATAGTAAAACACCTTAATGAGACGTATGCCAATAAAAATAAGGTTTGAACTTAGTTAAAGTTGTCACTAGCAGTGGTATAAACACGATTGTTGTAGTAACGCCCCAGTGGCGCCGCAGCCGTCCGATTATGAGCTATAAACTAATTCCGGTAGCAAACCCATTAAGAGGTACCATTATCTATATTAGAAGCTTCACTTACTATTTATATTTACTATATCGCTAATACGTATTTCTTTACGACATATTATTATAAAGATAACTAGAACTTACTAAAGAACTATTTAATGGATAGCCTGTAACACATATTTTACTAAACATGTATGTAAATAAAATAAGTTGCATTATATGTAACTCAAAACGAGACTCCTAGCCCACCCACAGTCAAACTGTATTATATATATATTATAGAATGTCAATTCCGGATCAATTAAAAATATGTACTTGATATAAAATGCTGTTAATATAACACGCTTGTTAGCATTCTGAAAATCAGATTTCGAGCTCCATATCTAAATGGTAAACCGTATGGTTTTTCATGCCGCAGAGGAGTTTCAGATAACCGTAATGCACGTTCTACCTAGAAAATATGTTAAGTATGAGAGATATTTACTTCTAAGACAATTTTGGTGATTTAGTTGAGATAAATCGGCATTTAGAACTTAAATTCAAAGTCCTAAACTTTGAAATCTGTATATTTTAATTAGACAATAAATTGATAACTTATATTTAGAAGTAAGCGCTATCGAAGTTCAGTGCATCCATTAACTTAAATTATCACCTATTTATATTAATATCAGGGTTCGCAAAAATCCGATATTTATAATAAATAACAAAATATCCGATATATGATATTTATCCGATATATGTTGGATATACATCATGCATATGAAATCTACAATTTTTACGTTACTAAATAGTGGCTTTATATAATATTTGAATGTTTAAATCTAAAGAGGTTAGATATAATATAGATCGATTTCAATATATTTAATATAAAACAATTAAAATGTAGAATGCATGCGAGGATTCCCAGTAACGTATTAGGGAATACCTTACTTAATTACTTACTTACTATATATATATTAAACCTTATTACGAGAATATAAGCATTAAAATTTAAGAAAAAATAAATAAAGTGAACGTTTGCACTTCGAGTTCATGTAAACTCGAAATTTCATGTTGCCAGAGTCACATCAGGTTGGTTAATTTTCTGAGACTCAATACTTACTTAAACTAACAATAAAATTGATATAACAATAAATTATATATCAACGAATATATGTCATGATATATATACGTTGATATCAGCGAACCGTGATTAATATATTATTCAGCTTAATTTTGGTATGTTTTATTTTCAAAATATTTACATATTAACGATTCGGAAAACACGTGAATCTAAAATTAAACGAGCAAGGAATGCGGATTGATGTGGTCGTTCTGTAAAATAATATGATTTAATAACAATACGGACCCCGCCATATGGGCAAACCTGTTTCAAAGCGAATACCGATGGTGCCGCAACGCGATACACCGGGCAAAACATTTAATAGTATTTTCTTAAAACCGTCAATAATTCTTAAGATAAGTTCATCGAATCTCAAAAGTAGTAACCCAACGTGTTATTTGATTAATAATAAAAAAATAAGATTAATATTTGAAATACTTAAAGAAATATTTTTATATAGACACGATTAAGTATGTCATTAATTTAAAGCTACATTACCGATACATTTCACATTAATTAGAGTTTAAAGACGTCATTAAACCTTTAATGGACGTTTGTACAATTGACCGTTAATCATTATTCATTGAAATCTAAAAAAGACCTAAAAATCCGGTTCTACCGTACTTTACACTATACATTATATCGTCATATTCGTCATCTCTATAACATTAACATTGTCCTTTTAAAGTATAATTATCTTGAGCTTCAATCTCGTGTGTAGCTGTGATGACGTCAATAGCGCAGGCGCCGGCGCCAACTTATTCACCGTGAAGGAGACCACTCAATCCTACTCTGTCGTGTCTGTAATGTTAGAAAAGGCTGAACTGATTTCAATAAATATTTCAATACAATTAGGATTTTATTGGGCCAGTAGGTACTATAAAAAAGTAAAGTACAATTAGTAAATTATAAACCTTTAATATAAATGGGACAGTGAATTTTTCATTTGGGCATTTTACATTTTTGCCTAAAAATCCGGTTTAACAATGAAATCGCTAGTAAAAAACAATCTGTACTAAATGGCAAATTAGTAGTCAAGGTAATAGAAACAATATAAATGTGATACAAATCCGAAAAATTATTTTACTATTAAGCTTAAGTAGGGCCATTGCCATAAACTGTAACGTCTTCTACGTTACAGTTTAAGGCCATAAAATTGGCGACTGAGTCTAATTCTCGGATATAGTCTACATAGGCTTACATTATGTACGTAATCAGTTATCTTGTAACAATTTGTTGCCTACAGTATACAAAGTATCTCTATCAATAAAACTACTCATAATATTTTTGCGATACGCATGTTTTAGTAGATTAAATCATATTGATTAGATACAGTCTATTTAGCTGGGTCAGTACATTTATCTGTGGTAAAGTTACGACACGTTTATGTTCATAAACCTTTACACGTGTTATGCTAGTAGGAACTAACCAACTAACAATATAAACAAATATTTACTTACCAATAATGACTGTTGTTGTTGCCAACTTTAAAGTTTTCGGTCGGCTAAAATGAAGAAAACAAATTTTCTATAATGTTTAAAGAAAAGGATTGAATGGGATATTTACCGATATTTTATTTCTACAACATGATATGCTTGCTGATTTGGGAAAGGAGATCTGTATAACAGAATACTGAAAATATCATATCCCATTAAAAAGATGTTTATAATTATTTAAGTTGTTGTTATTTTTATAAACATTAGAATACGTATAATAATATCACATGTTTTTATGGCCCTCTTGTTAGTACTCTGGTCATGTGCGTGATTCTATAACGAGGAGCGGCATTCGTTTGTATACACCGCGCCTTTTTGCTGCGCATATGCAACTTCCGCAATGATCATAACATTGGCATTATATAAAATTTTGTATCATTGGTCGTAACTGAAACTCTAAGGTGTTAATGTTTTGCATCTCTTTTGTTCCAGATCGGATAATCGAACGTGATGCCGGCTTTGTGTCAGGAGGAGAAGATGATGACTCTTGCTCAGGTCCAGCGCATTCTGACGACTCGGGTGTTAGACTGGTGGACAACGACTCGAGAAAGAGAGACCGACCTCCTTCCAGACTCCAACCACCGAAGAAACGTATCCGCCTAAGCTCTAGGGATGATCTCACGAGCCCTGAGAGTGACATTCCGACAAGCCCATTCCGACCCTGGTCTTTCGCTGAGGAACCCCAGCAAGAACCATTATCTCTAGTCAAGAAATCCAGCGAGAGCAGCATTTTAAGACAACGAAGGAGGCCTTTAGAACCTCCTCCGTTGCTAGTCCCTCCCCCACCTGCGACAGATACAAGAACAGATCCTCCACGAGTCCCTCCACATCCGGCCGTAGTAGAACCATATTCAGAAAAGCCAAAGCCTAGAGAACACAGAAATTACAAGAACATGACGAGAGAGAGGAGGATAGAAGCTAACGCTAGAGAAAGAACTAGAGTACATACAATAAGTGCTGCTTTCGACACCCTCCGAAGAGCAGTACCAGCTTACAGTCATAACCAAAAACTATCTAAGTTGTCGGTGTTACGGATAGCCTGTGCATACATTGCTGCTTTATCAGCAGCAGCAGACCCCGAAGGCGATCTATCATCAGCAGTGGAAAGCGTAACTCAAACGATACACACGGAAGGAAAGTTAAGGAAGAAAAAAGACGAACCTTGAGAAGTCGTTGTAATTTAAGGTTAAAGTTTTTCATGATGCTGTGTGCATTTACCAAAATTAGCAAAAACGCAGAATGCTATAGGATATTAAATTGACATTTACGTATAAAAACCGAAAATTGTCTTAAGACTAGATTTTGTCCGCCCGACCGATAGAAAAAATCATGACATTAACTCGAAATCTCACTAGAATATATTTGTACTTATTAAATTTGTCGGCTTTGATGAACGTGACTCACAAGACTGAGTTTTGAAAGACTTTACTATCGTTACTGCATACATTTACGAACACAAAGTACCGTCCTTTATTGAATAACTTGTTTTAAATTTAGTACAAATGTGACAATAATTAATTGGTGATTGTAATTTTGTAATATTTATAAAATTCAATTGATAAATGTATAAAAAAAAATAATGTTCATAAGGCCTTTAATTGGAAAATTGTTAAAAACTCGACTGATGCGATGGTGCACAAGTTCCTGTAAACCGTTATTTGGATCTCGTACAATTTTGAAAAGACAATTGGCTCTAGACAATAATATATTTGTTAAAATAATGTAAGATTTCAACAAAGTTAACCATTCCCAATCCAGTATTAATAATAAAGAAAAATACTAATGATTACAAATAAAAATGCGAATAATGCTTTTTAATATATACATCAGAAATGCAACGAATCGTTACAAATAAACCACACAATTCAAATAAACAACACTCTCCATAAAATGTATTTGTTTGGCTTTAATGTTATATTTATTGAAACGAGTCAGTAATTTTAAGGTAGAACTGTATTATTATATATTTAAAATGAAAATTGCATTTTCCTGTAAATATAATTTTTAAGTTTGTAAATAGTAAAATTGTTTATATTTTCTGTTACAAGGCGAAACGATTACCTCTGTGTATTACACCGTACATTTTCAAATGTATTACTGAAGTAAAGAAAAGTTTATTGTTTTTTTAAGTTTAATCTTATATTTTCAAGTCAACAGCAATTATTCAAAGCAATAAAAATGTTTTAAAAAACATTAACAACCAATTGATTGATTGAATTGATTGAAAAATGTAAATCTTATGAAAAGTACGTAGTTTAGCACGCTGGTAAAACAGTAAATGCCTTAACATGCATTGTGATATAATATTGTAAATATGTAAATTAGTTATTAGGATATTGATAAGTGCCAGTTGAACTGAAGAGATGAAAGTTCTATTTTTTTTATTTTGCTATTACAAAAGCCAAATAAATAAAATTGGTATACTCTGTAATATTTTATTTATGAATTCTAAAAGGGTTTTTGTTGAAGCAGAATTAAAAAATGAAACGAAAGGGTGTTATTTTATAAGTATTCAGGTAAAAAGTTGGAAAGAGGATAATAAAGAAAATGAAATTATACCTATTATGTCGTTTCATTTCCAATGCTACATACTGTTATTGTGATTAATATATAGGGTGCTAATATGAGATAAAGATATTTTTACAGCTGATAGAAATCTGTACTTGAAATATATACCTATACTTAAATATAGAATATAATAGGCTTTATGATGTTTTAGAACAAAATATGTATCTATGTTTAAAATTTAAAAATGGATAGACATATAAAAAATATACGATGCTTTTTAATTTTGTTTAACTTAACTGTTTAAATTCTTAAATCATTGAAAAGAACATTAAAAATAGAGCTCGTTTCTATTTATGAAAAAAATCCATAAAATAAACTTAAAAGTTTCCATAGCGGGAAGGAACACAAAAATCGAGTAGACGAGAACTTTTTATTTCTTGTGAGACGAGAACACACTTTTTCCAGCACAAATCGTTCCTCACAGCCTATATATAAAATAATAACAAATAAATATTCGGCAGCATCACACATAGTGATTATTTCCAAGATGAGTAGATAAAGCTTTAATATTATGGAGTGTCTGAAACAAAGGTATTATAACATCCATACCCTAAACTTTATCTTTTAAAATTTAAAATTTTATCTTTAGTATATTCGTGAGATATACTAAAGTACAGAAGCTTCTTGAACCCGGGTCCTCAGAGATGGCGACACTTTAAATCGGCGGTTTTACCCACTACTATGGAGGTCCTTGTCGAACATTCTAAAACGCGCTTTACGCATCTAAATCTAGTGCATCTTCCAACACCTTTAAATGAAGTAATAAGTTCGCTGGTTTACTGGTTTATCCATAATACGGGGGTTTGAATTGACATAGATTTGCAATTGTACTTGATTTAGATAGCAAAGAGGTTAACTATAAAATTTAAGAGTCAATGAAAATTATAAAATATTTGTATAATTGATTATTCGAAATAAATAAATTAAAGCAACATATTCCAAATGCATCTTTTTATAGTTGCTCAATTGTTTACATATAGAAAATTAGGAATATTATGAGTAGAGGTACACTATATTATATAAGACATTACATTTAATTTAATTCCGCTGGTAAGCGTCAGCAGGATAACGAGTGTTTAATAATGAGGTTGGATTACCATAATTTGCGAAGACCGTTGGAACAGGAAGAACGGCAGCATCTGCCAACAACAATGGGGTCTGTTATCACCCCAATGGGGTGGTGATAACGGCCACGTGCCCCGTGTGCCTCTGTCAACATCCCACGGTCTTTGTGAGGGTAACTGTAACTGTGAACATCTGTGGCACATATTATGTGTTTGTAATATTTGCTTATTTTATAGCAGTCATTTATTGGATATTATTATATTAGCCTACAATTTTTTTTTGTGAAGTAAATCGAATCAATCTAATAAATAAAAAGATTACATCTTTATATTTCGTTTGCAATGTTCAATGTAAGGAACGTCAGCGAAGAAGTTACCTATTTTAAATTGGAGTGTTTTGTCTCGTAGTAGGGTAGAATGTACCTACTATTTTATTATTATTTGCGTTCACTTTTGCAAATAAAAGTAATAGCAAAATTAGTTTATTTCACTCAAAGACACAACATACTGAAAATTAATAAATTAGAAGAGATAACGTAAACTTTTATTGGTTATCCTATCCTATTATCGTATTAATATTATAAATGTGAAAGTTTCTGCGTTTGGATGTTTGTCCGTCAATCACGCCGAAACTACTGAACGGGTTTTGATGAAATTTGGTATACAGTTATATATCAAACTTCATCAAAACCCGTTCAGTAGTTAGTATAATAGGATACTTTATATCCCACTAAACATTCCCCTAGGGTCCACACGGGCGAAGTCGCTGGCGAAAGCTACCTAGTTAAAAATAAAATATTAGTGATAGGTAAGCAGTAATCTCTTTTGAGGAACCTATACTACCTCCTTAAATAATAGATAAATATTCAAACGGTTCGCATGGTTGTTTACCTACCTAGGTTGTTAAAATAATGAATAAAAAATAAAATTAATTTAAAGTATTAGTTTAGTATACCTATACTATACTAGGCTTAATGATTGGAAACACTTCAAAGTGACATTTTGAATCAGATTATTAAATAAAAAATAAATAGCCATGGAGATAATCTCATAAGCACACAGTTTAAGATAGGCAATCAACGAATTGTTAATCATTAAATGAAATAATGTCCTTTAAAAATAATAAGTAATATCCATTTATGTTTAAATAGAATCTAACATTTGTAAACGGTAAATATTTTGTCATTTATTAATTTAAATTGAATATAAATAATTATTTACTTTAATAAGATGTCAACTAGCGTCATCTATGGACTAGTAGTTTATATTGTTCGAACTACGAAAGAAATATAAGATAGTTCAGCTACTACACAATAGATGGCATAAAAAAAAAAGAAGAAACTAGCGGCATCTCACAGAAAAAATTAGTACTTAATATTTAGGTTATTAGTAGTGGCGGGAATTTCAATAGGGCACTGAAGAAGAGCGAAACCTTTTTTTGGTAAGAAAATTATTTAATTATTATCTATTACACATTAATATTGACTGCTATTAAGCAGTCCATTTCAGGCATCTCGTATCCAAATGTGTTCCTAGACATTTGATGCTGCAATATCTTGCTCCGCAAGGTATACAAGTGTAGTGAGATGGAAATCCACAAACAGCACAAAAATGGCGCTCTGGAAACCTGAAATAAAATATATATGTATGCCGAGTGAATGTAGATGATCCAGTTTCATGTATTTGAAACATTCAAAATTTGATTTGTTAAAATGTAATCGAAAAATAATTTAATGAATGAAAATATTTTTATTATATTTTATTTAGCGGAGTGTTTCGGACTCCAGTTTATAGGTGTCGTTATCTTAGAGGTCCCGGGATCGATTCCCGGTCGGGTCAATGTAGAAAATGAACTTATCTATATTGTTTCTGGTCTGGGTGTTGTGGTACCTTCGTTGTCTCAGATACTTCATAAAACGGGGGCTTTAGCTACTCATTTTGGAATCTGAGTAATGTATGTGATGTTGTTTAATATTTAATTTTTTAACCTATGTTGATATTTTGTATTATAAAGATCCCATAAAGCCTCTTTAAAGAAAGAAATCTATTTTATTATAATTTTACTTACTGGGAAGGTGGTACTTGTGCTGATAAATAATTAGGAGGGTCTGGTCTGAAGCTAGCATCTTCTTCAACAAGCTGTGCAAATGTTTTTCTGAATCTCATCTTGTAATATTCAGCACTTTTAGCTTTCTTTTTTCTAGTTGGCTTTTCATTTGAGTCTGCGAACTTAGGTACTTTTTTTGACATAACCAGGTCTGCGTGGGGGTCTTCATGGAAATTATCTTGTTCCAAAGCTTCAACAGCTTTTCTAGCTCTACGTTTACGAGCCGCATCATCGAGTACTCTCCTTTTTTCGCCTTCTTTGACTCTACCAGATTCCCGGGCTGCCATTTTATATGTTTATCTTATATATTTGGAATTTACAAACCCTTATCATGCACAGGTATACTAAGCTGATCCATCAAATCATCAACTCGAGCTTGTAAAGTCTCAACAATATCTGCTGATATAAATAAATGTGTCTCATCCAGGTCTTGAAGAATAAATTTTCTGCCAAGTGCTAAAGTTTCATCTAAGTGGAGGAGGAACTGTTTCATAGCTGGGTCACTGAAATTAAAAAATAAATGTCTAAGAAACGAGGTCTGAGTGCTGATGAAAAGAAGACGAGAATGCTTGCGATCTTTCACCAAAGTAAAGATTTCTTTCAGTTAAAGGTGATTTTATTATTATTTAATTTTAATCTGTTCAGAGTGGTAAAAGGTATTTTGCTACATAGTGATGCAAACTATCTTTAATTTCAACAAAATCTGTGAAGTTGTTTGCATTGTGTGTAATATATGGCATAATAAAATATATAAAATTTTCAACCTACACCTTCAAATAACATAATTTTGTTATACCGCTCGCTTTCTGTTTTGGTCACAGTTCTAACCTAACCTAACCGAATGTTGAGTTCCTGTTGTGAATAATAAAGTTGTGAGTCTAAATTAACTTAATCAGTTTTGTTACAAAGATTTCGAACCTAATCCGATTGAGTTCAATCTATCTTATAAAGTGGAAAATTATAATATGTTATAGTGGAATATTTTATTCTTACCATTTCAGTCATTAAGGTTGAAGAACAAATTGAACTTTATGAGAAAAAAGTAGTATAAGTATAATATGATAGTAGTTATTACATATGTTCATTATATAATAGTAACATTATTGATATGAAATTATGTAAAAAGTTGCTGTAGCAAATGAACTGCGTCCATTTTCATCATCATCATCCTGTTAATGTATCTACTGTTGGGCATATGCTTTCTTTATGGATAAAATGCAATAGAATACAGAGAACTGGTCATGACCAAGCATTTAATGGAGTTTGGTGGGTGTTAATGACTGGCAGGACCAAAGCTTAATGCCTTCTGAAGTAACGAAGAGCTCAATATAATTAATTTTTGGTCACCTATCCAATGAATGGCCCCTGTAAAATTACCGACTAACCATGTTAACCGCAGCATCATTAAGCTCCTACAAGTTGCTTTACATCAGAATAAAATTTTATCAGTCATTAGAATTTACAATTATTTAAATAAATAATCTTTGCTAACTGTAAACACAATATAAATATAATGGATTTATTTAAGCCATTATTATATTTTTCTCAGGAATTAGAAAAAATAGCTCCTAAAGAAAAGGGTATAACAATGCAATCTGTTAAAGAAGTTGTGCAGAGCTTAGTGGATGATCATCTAGTTGACTCTGAGAAGATAGGGACGTCTATTTACTTCTGGTCTTTTCCAAGGTGTGTATAAACACTATATTGTTGAGCTAAAACACTATTTTATTTCTTTATACAGACATTAATTTAATGTCATCAAATGTTTAGTTAGTTCTTTCTTGTTTTTATACCATTTATTTCTAAATTTATTAAATTTTGACACAGAATAATTACTTTTTTTATATATTTCTCATAGTAAAGCAAGAAATGCAAAAAAGAGAAAATTGCAAATGTTGCAGTCTGAGGTAGATGAATGTTTCAATAAATTGAAGAAAGCCGAAGAAAGTTTTGTAACAGAATCAGTAAGAAAAGATTTATAATTACTTCAGTTGTTTAGGTCAATTTTTAAAATAATTGATGAATACTGTAACATTTTACACAGAAAATCATAAAAATCACAGTAAATTTTTATTTATCAAAGATATATCATACAATGTCCATAAAAATTTATAAGGATGATATTTATGTTGATGTTCATCTTAATTTTGTATGATAGAGCAAAATTTTTTTTACATCAAAATAAAAGTTCTCATTTTCAATGTTTACCTGGTTCTGTTTAATATAGTTAATTTACAGTTGTTTGTAAATCTACAATTTTTATTATTGTTTCATTCATATAAACTGAATGAACCATACTGCCAGATATATTTAAAAAATCTGTATGTCAAAGAGATATAATTCATAAGTCATTATAATAATATAACTACATATATATCACAATAAAATAATTACTGTTAACTAAATTACTGTTTTTCAAAAGGTGGGACGAGAACCATGTGATGAAAGAAATATTACTCTGTTATCATTAGAACAGACATTACAACAGGAAAAAACATTAAAAGTCGAGCTGCAGAAGTACAGAGATTCTGATCCAGAATACATAGCACAGTTGAAGTTGGAGATAGAGGTACTGACCTTTCGAAGGCTCTTAGAAGTAGCTTACAAAACCATTGCTGTATTTCTTTTCTTAGATTTATGTAAGTATTCAAGTTGAGGCAGTTACTTAACACAATTAAGATTGTTAGTGGGAATTGATTCTTTATTCTGTCAAGCACAAAATATAAACTAATTTTTAGTTTTAGGTGAATATATACAAAAATGTGATTGTTTAAATACTACACTAAAGATACACATTTTGTTCAATTTTGGTATAGGTACTTGATCATAAATAACAAGGTGATTGCAAAACTAACTAATTATTTAATGTGAAACTCAATTACCCTTTGATTTATTTACAGAATTTAAAAGAAGCTATCAATCGTTGGACAGAAAACATTTACATTATGAAGTCTTACGTGAAGAATACTTATGATATGGAAAATGAAGTTATTGATCAAAGTTTTGGCATACCAACAGACATGGATTATGTTGAAATCTAAAACATTGTTAATTCAATTTTGTTTAATAGAATATAACCTTCATGGATCTTTATCACTTGATTTTAGTAGATACTTACTGTTTATTAACATTTCTACAGTTCGATTTGTTCTACAAAGCTGTCGATAAACGTAACTAAAACAGTAAATGCGGTGTGGTAACTTACCATTCAACAAGAACACCTTTCATTACATTCACCATGGTTCATTATTATCAGGGTTCCTTTAGCATAGGAATTGTCGTACAGTAAATGAAAACCAAATCTTTTGATCGAACTGAACTCGAGATATTTATTTGAAGAGTGTTACTTTCAAATAGTGATATTTTACTTTATTAATTTCTCGGCGTCTATTTATGTTTCGGTCAGTGTAGGACAACATTCCGATTAATGGTATGCGGAATCAGTTACCATTAATCGCTTAATCGAATTTTCAAATAATCAGTTGCTATCGATTATGATTTCCTAGCCGACGATTACCATCGATTATTTCTTAAAACGTTAGCAATAGGAATAGTTTAAAACGTAGTATAGTACCTTTTTTTTTTCTTTTTTTTTTATTTGGCTTGCACTGTTTGTGCTTAGCCTTGTCAAAGTTTGGGAAACGGAAACGAAAGGAAATAGAAGTTGGAACGGATTTTTTATGGGATAGGTTCAGGAGGCTTAGGAATTAGGAGAAGGAAGATATATTTACACAATTTTATAATACATATATAGAATAGGTTAGAGTTTAATATTATTTAAAATTATATATGATACTATGCAATTATAAATGGATAGGTTATTAGTGGATAGTAAGGAAACTATTGATGTCGGGAAAGGAACACGAAGAGACAATAGGTCATTAAGGAAGACCGTGCGATCGTAACGTATACAAGCAAAAAAGATATGGTTTAAATCTCCAGTATCCATCCCACACTCGCAGGTATCATCATTAATGATTCCAAGTTTGGCTAAATGTGCTGGAGAACAAACATGTCCAAGACGCATACGTGAAAGAGTACTTGTAGCAGTCCTTCCATACTTCGCTTTTCGAAACCAAGGTTTATGTAAGATATCAGGTTGAATTAGTAAATAGTGTTTTCCTTTGAATTTACTACTAGTGGTCCAATCAGTATTCCATTTGGTCTGTAAGTAGCGCATGGGCAAAGATAGCAGATCTTGGCTATAATTTTTATAAGGAAACATATCACCACAATTTACTGCATCTTTAGCTAGATGATCAGATATTTCGTTTCCAGTGATTCCACTATGGCTCGGTAACCATGCAAACTCCACCAAGTAACCTAATGAACAACATTTTAATAAGCAGCTCCTTATTTCAAATATGACAGGTAAGTAAGAGCGATTACAGAATGGAAATTTAGATAAAGCTTGAAGAGAGCTCATGGAATCAGTGAAAATTATTGTTTTCTTGAGTTTCATTAGAATCACGTATTCTACAGCTTTTAATAGACCCAAACATTCTCCTGTAAAGACGGATGACTCTGGAGGAAGCTTAATTTTTTGTGAAATATTGTACTGAGAATGATAGACTCCAATACCGGTACATTCTGTAAAGGTGGATTTGGAAGCATCACTAAACACGTGATTATAGTCATTATAATTTGCCTCAATAACAGATTTAAATGTAATGTTCGCGTTGTTATCATCTTTAACAATTAAATCATATCGAATTAAAGGGGAAAGTTGTAAAGCATCAAAATTTACGCTAAATATGGGGAGGCAATTGGATCGATGGGTAGGAGCTAAAAGATTTAAATATTTTTGATAACTTATTATCAAGCAAGGACGTGATTTATGGATCCAATAATTATTAGTTTCGATTTCTATATTCAAGGACTCAAGCAGCTGGAACAGAGGATGGTTAGAGAATTGTATAGCACTGAATATAAATCTATCAGATAGGTATTGACGTCTTAAACTCAGTGGGGGGTCACAAGCCTCAATTTGTAACGCATTTATAGGGCTAGATTTCATAGCGCCAATTATTATTCTAAGGGCCTTGGATTGGATGTTATCCAGTTTTTTAAGAGCACAAGTATTGCCAGGTTCTAATAGAAATGTGCCATAATCTAATAGACTGCGTATCAAGGCGTTATAAATTAATTTAAGAGATTGGGAATGAGCGCCCCACCAAACTCCGGAGAGGCATCGAAGAATGTTTAAAAGACGTTCAGTTCTGCCAACAATATAATTGCAATGCGCCACACCAGTGAGTTTTGTGTCTAAAAATACCCCTAAAAATTTTTTCTCAGGTTCAACCGGAATATTTACTTCATTATAAGAAATATTGAGAGGAGGGAGAATTCTTTTTCGTGAAAAAACCACTATTGAACTTTTCGTAGCTGATACTTCTAATCCATTAGTATCCATCCACTGTTTCAACGAACTTAGGGCAGTAGAGATATTTTCTGAAGCTATTTCAATAGAATGGTTTGTGGAATAAATTAATAGATCATCGGCGTATTGAAGAAGTTTAATATTGTTTTCAAATACATAGTCAATGTCATAAGTGTAAATGTTGTACAATAATGGGCTAAGAACGGAACCCTGCGGTAAACCTCGCCATACTGTTCTTTGTATCTCTATGTCAGAAGACACACAAATTGTAAGATAGCGTTCTTTTAAAATGTTTAAAATAAAAAAACATAAAATAGGTGGAACGTGTAAAGACTCTAATTTACATTTCAAAACATAATAAAACATTATCGTATGCCGATTTTATATCCAAAAATGCTGCTACCATCGATTTGTTGAACGAAAACGCAAGTCGTATATCTGTTGTGAATATACTCAAACTATCAATAGTGCTCTTTCCTTTCCTAAAACCATATTGGGTTTTTGACAACAGGTTTTGACTTTCCACAAACCATTCTAGGCGATTCTTAATGAGTATTTCAGCTAATTTAATCAATACAGATGACAACACTATGGGTCGGTATGAAGGAGGATCAATTAAAGATTTATTGGGTTTAGGAATGGGCAACACTACTTGTGACCTCCAAGATAAGGGGATATTGCCTGATAACATTGTTGTATTGATAAGTTTCAAATAATAGTTTAATATGTTCTCACTAAGATTAGAAAAGAAAGAGTAAGGTATGCCATCGCCCCCTGGAGCGGAATCTTTAGTATTAAGAACTGCGGCTTTAAGTTCAGGGAGTGAAAAAAGACAATTCAAGCCAGAGAGGTTATGTGAAGAAATGTGATCATTCTTGATAGAAAGAGGAACCCATGGTGGAGCAAGTTTTTTTTAAAAAATCGTCAGCTTCAGCTGGGGTAACAGAGGTGGATCTGGGAATAAAAGCGGATCTAAACCTTTTGATATTTTGCCAAACTACAGTAGGGTGTGTATTAGGAGAAATAGAACTACAGAAATTACGCCAGCTTTCAAATTTCTTCCGTTTAAATAATTTCTTAGTTTCCAATATAATTTTACATAGAGTATCATAATTACAGGTTGTCATATTATAACGATATTTTTTTTCTGCTTCCTTTCTCTTCTTAATAGCTATATAACAGTCACTGTCCCACCATGGGGGGGAAGGTATCTTAGTAGAACTACGTTTTTTCATTGGGAACACTTCTGCAGCAGCTTCACTCAATATATGCGACAAAGCATTAGCACAGTCATCTTCATTTCCAGATTTTACTACAGGAAGATAGGCTAATTTAGTGTCTACACAGCTTTTGAATTTATTCCAATCTTCAGAGTTTTTTTCTGGGAGCCTGTATTTCCTTGTAGATGAACGTAAAGGATGTTTAGGTTTACAAAAAGGAAGAGATATTAATATTGGGTAATGATCACTGCCATATGTGTATGGGAGAACATTCCAAGACAAAAGTGATGCTAATCTAGGTGAACATATTGAAAGGTCTACTGCACTAACATTTTGCTCAGAAATGGAAGAAGATAAGAACCTGGAACAAACGATAAAAACTAGAATGAGCATGTATGAAGAAAGCATGATTCAAGAAATAAAAGAGATAGGAATAAATGTTGCGAAAGGACAATAATGCGGAAGATTGACGGAAGAATGGATGACGGGGCGAGCTATGATAACACAGCAGTTATAAATAAAATGGAGACACTTGAGACAAACATTAAAGGGGAAATTAAAAACACAAGAATGGAAATTACAGGGATAATGGAAAAGGTAACATCACAGAGGGCACAATATCGGCAGGAACACAAGGAACGAGCACATACGCGGAAATAACTAAGGGCAAGAAACATCAAAGGCCAAAGACGATGCACTCACTACTCATTGCATCCAAAAACCAAAATGACATGGCACAGGACGTGATAGACAAGACAAAGGAGATCCTGAAACCGGAAGAAAACGGCATCCAAATTGAAAGGATCAGGAAAGTTAAAGATCAGAGGATCATAGTGAGTTGCAGAGAAGAACAAGAAACTGAGAGGATTAAAAAGAGAATAGAAATAAGCAAAGAACTGGAGGCAGAAAAGGTGAAAAATAAAAATCCACTCATCATCATAAGGGAAGTGAGATATAAATTAACGGACGAAGAAATAATAACGGCGGTGAGAAACCAGAACCCGGACATCTACACAGCCAAAGAAGATGATGACGAATTCAGGATTAAATATAGAAGAAAAACCAGAAACACTGAAAAGTGCCATGTTATAGTCCAGCTTAAGCCGGGATACTGGAAAAAGATAACGGAGAAGGGGCATCTGTACGTAGGAATGGAGAGGGTGAGGGTCGAAGATCAGACCCCCCTCATACAATGTACAAGATGCCTCAACTTCGGACATGGCAGGAAATTTTGTCAAGACAGTGCGGACAAATGCAGTCACTGCGGAGGACTACACCTGCGGGCAGATTGCCCAGACAGAAAAGCAGGAGTCCCACCGCAGTGCTGCAACTGCACGCACGAAGAATTATCAGGTACAGACCACAATGCATTTAGCAACAACTGCAAAGTCAGAGAGAAATGGGATAGCCTCGCCCGCTCTACAACTGCCTATGACTGAGGATAACACAAAACAACACACAAACAAGAAGAACACACACCAAAACACAACACAAACATTGAACAAAAAAACACACACACAAAAAACAGACAACACATACACAAAACAATGGAGAGACTGGAATGATGTACATTCTAATCAACCCATTGAAACAAAAACAAAAAACAAAACATAAAGTAGAGCATCATGAAGATGTAAAGCTTCATGGAAACACCAAACTTAGACAAAATACATAAATGAATACACACAAAACCGGACTTGACTAAATAAGCAAAGAGTAACAAAATAAAACTGAAAAAGAAAGAGGACTACCTTATATATTTAGTTATATATAAAAAGTGACCTTAAATACGGAATAACAAAACTAGATACACTAAAATAGGAATAAATAAATAGGACGGGACAAAAAGGAAAGAAATAGGAATACGAAATAAGATAAGGAAATAGAAATAAAGAGAGAAACATGTAAGAACAAGCATAAAAAGTAACGAACAAAGTAAGTGTAACTGAAACACAAACATACACTTATAACTATAATGAATAGAAAGATGTTAATAGTAACGGCATAAGTAAACAATAATAATGTATAGAATAAGCATAAATAGAATAAGAATAGTGAAAGAGATGTATAAGACGAGACATAAATGATAAAGAACAATGTAATCAGTAGAGAGAGACAAAGAAGATGTAATAAAAATAAGTAATAGAATAAGAAAATGTAAATAGAATAAGAAAATATGTAAAATAGAATAAGATCTTTAAAACGCAAAGAAAAATAAACCAGCATATGTGTAAAACTTTAATAAAGAAGTAGAGACAAAGAACAAGGTAACCAATAGAAAAGACAAAGGAAATGTAACAAAAATATGTAATAGGATAAGAAAATGTAAATAGAATAAGAAACCATGTAACTAGAATAAGATTTGGAAAGTAAATAAAAACCAACCTGCGTTGTGTTAAACCCTAATAAAGAAATATTAATAAAGAAAGGAAATAGAATAGATAGAATAGGACCGGCACTCCCAGCCGAAGGAATGAATGTGGAAGAATATGAGAAAGATAAAGTATGCGGAATGAATGTTAGTACAAACGAGAGAACTGGAATGAATGAGAAATATAGTGAATACTAAGGGCCTGCTACAAAGTGGGGACAACTAGGAAGCTCGGCCATAGACTGTAAGGCCGGGCAAAAAAAAAAAAAACATTTTGCTCAGGGTTTGTGCGACGCGTTGGCGATCCATCATTCAAGATACACAGATTATTTGAGTTATAATGTCTAGTAGTTGTTCGCCTAGGTATTTAGATACTGAACTACCCCATGACTGATGATGTACATTAAAATCTCCCAAAACTAAAAATTGTTTGGGGAGGAATGAAAACAATTGATTTATTTCATCAAGAATAGATAATGAAGGATATGGTATATATAAAGAAACTATACATATATTTTCTACTTTTACAGCAATCATTGATAAATTATTCACATTATGTTGTGGTAAAGGTATGGGTTGGAAATTAATGTTATTTTTAATTAATAGAGCTACACCACCACCATCAGTGGTAAGTCTGTCTTCCCTTACACATTTATAGCCATTTATTTTAAAATTAAAATGAGGTTTAAGCCATGTTTCAGAAAGTGCAAATACACATGGATCATATTTATTAATTAAATATATTAATTCACTTTTTTTGCTGACTGCATTAAGGCAGTTCCACTGTATTAAGTAACTGGTTAAATTGTCCATTATTGGGTGTTACAAAAGTATTTAAAGGGGCAGCGTTGGACGGTAGTACTAAATTAAACTGTGAGAGTAAATTTATAAGAGCAAAGACAAAATCTTTAGGGAGTTGTGTTTCTGATAAAGCACTGTTATTATTGTTGTTATTATTTAATGCACATCCATTATTGGGAGATGGGATATCAAATTCCCTGATGAGGGATTGGTGAGCAACTTTGTCATACCCTTTAATGAGGATGGGGTGGGGTCGAGATTTTACAGGGATATTTTTCCTATATGATATTGTTGAGGGTACACTAGGAGTCATATTATTGTAAGATGTTTCCTTTTTATTATGAGACGGATTGGATACAATGTCAGCAAAAGATTTACTTACTGGATGGTGCAATTTAGATGCTTCACTGTATGAGACACAATTTTGGGCCATATACAATTTAATTTGTGATTGTCTTATGAACTCGGGGCAAGATTTATTATTTGCAAAATGGTGTCCTGAGCATAAACAACAATAAGCAACATCCTCTGATACTGAACAAGACTCACCAGTGTGTTCTTGTCCACATTTAATACATCGCGGTTTTGATCTACACTGCATTTTTGTATGTCCAAAACGGCAGCAGTTATAACATTGAATGGTTGGGTATATATATAAATCTACACTTATTGAATTATAACATATAAAAATTCGTTTTGGAAGAATTTGACCGTCGAACGTTAGTACAACAGTTTGAGATGGTTTCCATGTAGGAGATCCATCTACAAATACTTTGTAGTTTAATCTTCTAACTTTTAAAATTTCTCCGCAACCTATGGGAACTGAAATATTAGACTTAACTTCTTCCAAAGACCATTCCGTGGGAACACCCCTTACCAAACCCATTCTTGTAATATTAAATGTTGGTATAAAAGCTTTTAAGTTATCGGAGCTCAGACTGCTATGTTTAATAAAATAATTGGCATCACTGTATTTGGAAAATGAGACTGCCATCTTATTGCGACCAATCTTTTTTACACTACCATCAATAATGTTGTTAAAAGGGTTTCTTTTCAAAAATTTGCCAAAGGTCATTGGATGCATACTGGTCCCGTCATTTGGGGTTGATTGAAGTCTTTGCACATGCACTACAAAAGGAGCTGCATCATTCTTATCATATAATTGCCTACTAACTTGTGTGGGATGTGACAAAAGAGATTCTTGAGATTGATTTGCAATTGCATCTGAGGGTTTATTTTTAATAACTGTAGGAGCAGTATTTTTATCTGTATAATCGGTTTTATATTCTATTGGTGATGGTTGAACATTAGAAGAGTCATGATGACAATTGCAATCCAATAAGCGTGCTTCTGAAGAGTGATGCCTACGTCTTTTCTTATTACAATGTTTACAGATTTGTAAGCGACCGCGTTTTCGAGAAACATTTGTAAGAGAGCCGTCGGTGTCTACTCCTGATTCATTATTGGAAATTGTAATGTAGGTGCCAGCCGGAGGGATAAATCCCCCCGGATCCATGTCCGGGGGGTCGTTCATGTTAGAGGATAAATCAAATGACTTACCAGGGCAGCTCGTATATAGATAATAACTAAATACACTATTAATATGATATATAACTAAAAAAAAGCCAACTGAACGCTATTTGAATCAAGTTTAAATATATAAAAATTAAAAATCCAAAAAACACAACCCGCCAATTTGAAGGTTTCCCGCGCTTCTAGTATAGTACCTACTTACTTTACTTCGATGGCAGAACGACCCATAGCAGATCGCGAGTGTGAATATTATTAGTAGATATTCTATTATTTATTATGGCAACTCACTCCCATGAACAAATAGGTAACTTTACTCTTTGGTCGGTGAACTCCTGATGAATGAATGAACGGATCTTAGTTTTATTTTAACAAATATAAATTAACCGTTACATATCTATACCGAAATAATATTTTTTACATTTTTTTGTCTGTCTGTTTGTTCTGTATATTTAATCAGAATGGGATTATAAGAAATTTAAGTTTCCTTGCGTTGACAAAATAAAACCGCAAATTCTTCATGATTCTCTCTTGTACTTATTCTCCAAACCCAAAGCAACAATGTTGTAAACAAGGAACTTAACTGTCTTCAAAATAATCTAGAGCGATTACTGTTTTTGTGGAATCTTGGAGCTAAAGATTTTTTGTTTAACGTGCATAATTATTATTAATAATTACTTTTATTTTTGCTCTCAGAAAACTATTGTCTTTTATTTTCTGTAATAAAAAATCTAAAAGTAGCGTTAGTAAGTATCGATACAATTTACTACAAGAGTATTTAAATATAAGTAGAGTAGTAATGGAATTATTGGAATACTACATATGTGAGAAGGTATCGATTTTTTGATAGTATCAGAACATCCCCAAGGCAGTGTGGTAGTCCGCATTTTGTTTCCAAAGTCAGGCTTACCAACTTAGGGCTTTTAGCCACAAATTTAGGGCGAAAATAAACTGATTGGGCTTTTTTGGGGCTCAAGAAAATTTAGGGCTAATTTTAGTGCTAAAAAAATTAAATAAATTAATAATAAAAAACTCAGGTAATGTCTGAATTACCCATTAAATCTTTTTATTTGGTTTAAAATAGATTAACCAACATTGTTTACGACATACAAAAGAACTTTATTTTCTCTTCGAATTGACAATGGATGAAACGTTAAATTATTTAACAAAACAGGTACCAATTGTTCATTATATAGAAGCAAATGTTTAGCTGGACGGGTGTGTATGTTTGTAGGCTACCTATGTAGTATATTGCTATGGCTTCAATATGACATTTTTTAATCTATTTGCATTTTCTGTAGTTTTATTTTCGTGTCATGGTTTATTACTTTTTTTTGGATTGTTTTTAGTCATAAAACGTAGTATGCTTTCTGGCTTCGTTCATGACATAGATTCGTCATCGGATGCTTTAAAGTATTTAAGTCTATTTCGCACAAAATGTTCCATGATTGATTACACAAAATGTGCTTGGCCCTTCTCTTCTTAGTGAACTAGCAGAAAAGACAGGAGAGTTTCGTGTATGAGAGTGCGTTTTTATTCATCTAAAAAAAAGAGAAATAGTCACCTTTTTTAGATTTACAAAATTAATTTATTGCGATTCAAGTAATTAATACCAAAAAAATATTAGAAAATAAAACTGAGGTCTTTTTTAATCACCTTAATAATACAGTTTTTTTTTAAACTATACCATTAAATCGGTGGGTAATACAAGTAGGACAGGGCTTTTTTTGGGGCTTTTGATGACACCATTCAGGGCTATTTAGGGTTATTTGAGTTTGGTTTTAGGGTTTTATTTTGTTGGGAGTTGGTAACACTGTCCAAAGTATGAATGACGAGAAATAGGTAAGTCGAGGTAATTTAGTAGCTGTAGTTGGCCTCGCTACCCTTTCTTTTTCTTTCAAAATTTCGACTATTGTAGCAAACAGTAGTTAGGTTTCTTGGTAATTATATGATTGAATTTTACATTTTATAATATTAAAGTGGGGGTACCTCAAGGCTCATTTGGATTGGGACACTTGTTCTTCATTTTATTCATAAACGCTGTACCATAACCATAACCATACTATGCTGTCCTTTGTAGTTGTAGTAATAAGATC